ATGAAAGCGTTTCGAAGGGGGAAAGGGTAAATATTTTTTTGAGGTCCGGGAAAGTGAGGGAAATAGAACATTTTGGAGTCAGGGAAAAGCAGAAATAGTCAGGAGAAAATCAGGGAATTTGCAGATATAGAAATTACCGCAACCATGTATTGCACTAAAATCAGGTAAAATTCGTGTGAAGCAGTTAGAACCTTCTCTGCGCTTCGAAAACTAAGAATTAACGGGGTGTCTTATCTTCCAGTCCGGAATTTTCGAAAGTACCAATTTTTCAAGGGCGGTCCGGAAGTACTGAAAAAGTGCGGAAATTCTCCAAGAAAGTCCGGAATTTCTTTCATTTTCTGTAATTGTTGTCCCAATTTGAGCGAGAAATTCAAATTTTTGAAATTTTTCAAATCTCGTCAAATGGAGTTTAAAGTAATGAATTTCGCTGTTGAGGAGGTGCTGAATTTCTTGGGAATATACTGAAAAAGTACTGTGAAAGTATTGATTTTTGGCCAGCCTGTTTTAGTAGACACCCTGATTAAGTTATCGGTGCGTACTATATTAATTTCAATTTCTTACTTCATTTGGCGTCGGCGGATCAGTTTACACCGAGTCGAGCTGCGGGAGACGGAGAGGAAGGAGGGGGAAAACTTTTATCAATAGAGTTGGGAAAACGAGTACAATTTTTAATTACCCCCGGGATAAGACGAAGCTGCCCGGCTTAGCTGCGCAATATTTCTCAGCGCCCAACCAACTCCTGGCCGAAATATTTTATTTATCGCCGTGCCGTCCTCACGTCGCCTTCTCGTCTGTCATTGTCTCAGATGATGCAGAAATATGAGGGTTGTCGGCCGGAGCAAACTGATCAGCCCACCTCGGAATCCGCCATGACCAGCCTTTTCCGCGCGGCCATAGTTTTATTTAAACTTTCATGAAAAGACTTTGCAGGTAGAGGAGTAAAGTCATGCTTTGTAGCACTGGAAAAAAAAAGTCGCTTGGATCTTGAGTCCAGACTCGTAAAGACATTGACAAGAAAAAATACTCTTGATTCAATCGGATTTTAGCTTTAATCAAGAAAAAAGCCCATTAATTTAAGCGGATTTCACTCTGATTCAAGAAAAAATCTGATTGAATCAATAGTATTTTTTCTCGTCATTGTTTTCAAGAGCCTGGACGGCGTCCAGTGAACGCTGGATCCAAGCGACTTTTTTTCCAGTGAGTCTTTCGTTAAATGCCGTTGAAATAACGTATCGATGAACGAAGTGCAAAACCACGTATCCCATTTGCACCTTTATTTTCTCTTTGGAAAACTGGTCAACGCAATTTCTTGAAAACTTACCGATTTTTCTACTCTTTCAGCAGAATTTTCTGTATACATTTCTAGCCTTAGAATTGGCTTGTGTCTACTTATTTTAGAGGATTGTAGTCGGAAAATCTTTCTAATACCTCCCTCTAATTGATAGCTGCGGTTCAAAGAGTTGGCAAAATATTCGACAACTGCGAAAATTTTTACGAACAACCCTACTGCCAGGGTGTCTACAAGTCCGGAATTTCCGGAAAGTCCGGAAATAGTATTGATTTTTTAAGGGCGGCCTGGAAGTACTGAAAAAGTGCAGAAATTCCGCAAAAAGGTCCGGAATTTTTTTCTTTTGTTGTCATTTTTTTCGCAGTTTGAATAAGAAATTGAAATTTTTCGAATTTCGTCAATTGGAGGTACTGGAAAAGTACTGAATTTTTCTGTTGAGGAGGTACTGAATTTCTTGGGAATGCAGTGAAAAAGTACTGAAGAAGTACTGATTTCTGGTCCTTCTGTTTTCGTAGACACCGTGACTGCGATTCTTTCTTCCGCGGCTACTTCTACATAAAGCAGTTATAAAAATGACGAATGCATCGTTTTTATAACCGTCTCATTCTGGTTGTTCATGACGCGCGACCTGCCCCGGATCTTCACCACTCGAAAATTAAATTGGCGGGAAAACAACCCGCCTTTATGATGCGGTCCGAAAGGGATGGAACTGCCACGGATTTCTCTCAAAATACGCGATAGCCGAAGGAGAGAATTGTTATTTTGGCAACGGGAAGCGTGATGGCCCACCAGGGAAATGAAGCCGCGGTTGGTTGCGAAATTGCGAGTAAGCTTATTTCACGCATCGCACCGGTAGAGAATGTAGAGAGTAGAGAGATGGAGGAAATGGGGGCTTTTACTGTCACATGTGCGTAAAGCGTACCTCTTTCCGTTATTACTCTTTTGAATTTATAACGATCTGATATTTATACCACTTGAGCTTTGAATATTTCACTAGGGAGCTGCGCCCCCTGATGACCGCTTCGCGGGCACACCACCCGTACTGCCGTGCTAAGGAAGACCGCCGTATGACAACTCGAGGGTTGCCAAATTTCCCTTGATATAACATGTATTTTTGACGATATTCATGAACATCTTTCTTTGAAATATTTAGATATTTCAGATCAAATTGCGTACAAAATTGTCTGAAAATTTTGGGGAAAAATATTCACAATTTTCCCAGTAAATTCGAGTTTTATAGAAGGCGACTTGGCAACGTCTGAAGGTTCATACGGCGTTTTCTCTTACCAGGGCAGCGTAGCGCTTTGCGTTACGCGTTTACTCTCTTGATTTTATATTATAAAGTAAGATAAAGTTAAATTTGTAGCAAAGTAGTATTAAATAGGAACACTTCATCATTCAGTACCTTGAAATTCAACACGCATAATGAATTTGCGACACATCTCATCACGAAATTTCTTTATCGGAAAGGAACTTCAAGAATCTTAAATTCAGAAATGCATCTAAAAATGTAATTTCTTTGCGTAGATTAATTTGTTGAAATCATTTCCACGAATTTTGCTACTAGATTATCAGTGCAATAATTAACATCCTCCTCCCCATCCCCCCGTCCATAGTAATGCTCTGCTCTAGGAAACATCGGAAATCAATGCAATTCAAGTCAGACATTGGAAACGACTGTGTAAATTCGTCGAATCACTCGGGGGTAGATTCACAGAAAGCATCCATCCTAACTCGGGTCGGACTGGCTCCCATATGAGGGCGCAGACCCTTATTGGCTGGTTAAAGGGGCGCAATGTGGTAATTCTTAGTTAGGCATCCCCTACTTGGAGAGGGTTTCAGAAAATTTCGGCAAAGAAGCACGCGTTCACACTATTTTCAGGTTCTAAGTTTAATAATCACACAGAGTAAAAATTGCAAAATTGAACTACTTAAGTAACCGACTGATTACTGAAATTAAACAAAACATACAAAATGAACGACACCAGACGCATCCAAGCACCGTTATTTCCAAAAAAAACCCCATCCAATTCTGAGGTTTACACGAGCTTAAGCTGAAGACGTGGGTCTGCAAATCCATCCTAAAAAAGAATCAGACAAGAACCTGAAGACAGAAGAAAGAACGAGTATCAACACAGCCGAAGGTAGGAGCGATGTGTTCGGGCCTCTTTTTAAACTTTCCTCCCGAAACTGAGCGCCACCTCATTGACAGCACATAGCAGAGTATTGAGAGGTCAGGCTTCGCGTCATCGCGCCTTCAATTTTTCAGATGCAGCACGGACGTCCATCAAGTACGAATAGTTGTATCTCTGCGCCGTCGTTAACGCGCATCTTTTCCCTCGCTCTATTTCCATTGTGTTCGCTTGCGTTTGTCTTATATTCGTAATGGCGCTTGAAACTAGTAGCATTGAGCAGAGCATTGCGAGTTCACGACTTACGCCATCGCATCTTACATTTTTATATGAAATGTGGACATCCATCTTGCGCGAATAGTTGTATCGCGTTTACACTCTAGATGTCTCTTATTTTGGAATTTCGATATAAATTACGGTTAAGTTTGCCCGAGATATGCTATGGTATGTCCAAATCAATAGTCATTTTAAAAAGGAAGAAATATGTTTAAAGGTCGCTCAAAAGGTTGAAAAAAGGGTGTGTATGTCTAAAAATTGAACCGACCATTACTTCTAAGGGAGGTTCACATAGCGAGTGAAGAAGGGGGATAATAAAGGGCCTGTATGTCAACGAAAAGGTGAACATTTCACAGAAATGTGTTTACGCTTCATAAAGTAGTTCTTGGACCTCTGTTCACCACTATCGTGCGTAAAAGCACCTTTCTTTGCTACTTACCCTCTCTTCTTCCGTTCATTTAAGACATTTTTCGCATATATTCTCGGTCATAATTCTTTTTCTGTCCTTATTTTGCTATCTGTCTGAGGGGCACGTTTTTGGCGCTGCAAGAGGGCGTATCTGCCAATGGTAGATTGGCCTTATGGCCAGTCCGAGCCTATCCTAACTCTCATCAACGGTGTTTTAAATTTTCTCAAGAAAAAATTAGCACGCCGAGAGAACCACCTGTTTTCGGCACACACCGATTTGCGCCCAGTATGCACTTGCGTAAATTTTGGTTTTTTTAGAAGTGGAGTTTTTAAGTTACCGCTCTAGAGAAGTTCAAGTCACTATTTATTAGTTACTTTCGAAAATTTTTAAAATGTTCTAGTAGTATTCCAATGCAATACTAGGAGATCCGTTGCTCAAGTTCTAATTCCTAGCACGGTAGATTTAACAGAAATTCCCGTTGATCCAATAGGAAACTTCTTTGATGCATATACTTAAATTTAAATGACATCTAATTCACAATGTAAACAATCAATTTGGCCTCAATCTTTTTCATTTCTTACCCTCTCTTTTAAGGTCGAACGATTTCCGCATGAGCAATCAGTGCTCGCTTCCTGATTAATTAATGCAAATCTTTTCCTCGCCGAAACAAAATTCGCATTACAGATATCTTCCGTAAACAACATAATTATTTACCTAATCTCCTCTGATTAGATTCATGAAAATTGTGAGAGGACGAACTACTCAAATCTTTCTTATCAAGAATTTGGACCTTGGTGCAGAATCGTTGATAATTTTTCAACTTTTTTGACATCGCTTTAACGAAAAACAGTCGGCTTTTATCAGAGAATTGTCAACAGCAAACGTGGAATGGGCATGGGATGTTTCTAGACCGACTTCAGAACATGATTTTCTTTCGCTTAACTAACGGCATAAGAATAATGTAGATGGTGCGCGCCTCTGTAATTTTGCCATTTCCAAGGAACCGTGACCCTCACAAGTGAATCCTCCTTCCGTGAATTTTAATTATTGCGGCTGTAATGCAAATGCCGTAATAATCGCCGGAAATATTCTCGTTTGTTTTTATTACGTCTGCAGTTTTTGTACATCTCTGTGCTCAGTCGGAATTTACCTTTCGGAGGGAATAATCAGCGTTCTCGTCGAGTGCTTTCCGCATAGTGACATTGGTGCGTTTTTCTGCGTTTTTAGCAACGAAGAATATAACGTAAGTTCATCTGCGATTTCATTTGTGACTGATAAAAGTTTTTTTTCTTTTTATTGTTTTATTCAAATACAACTTAGCTGTACCAGAAACTATTTGAGATACATTTTAAAAGATATTTTAGACTTAGCTGCTTCCCTGTCCTTTGCTATTTTATCTAATAGCAATGCATATTATTACCATGGCTAGCCTTTTTTATAGGGTTTATATGCAATTTATTTTTCCTTGAAAGGCATTTGTCAGTGCTGAAATGCTCTAATTATCATGAGAGTATGACTCACCCCCCTGCCCCAAAACTTTACTCGAGAAATGTTCAATTGAACGAAAATTTCAACCAACGAGACTGCCTAGTAGCTTATAGAGTTTTTACAATCAAATTAAAATTGACCAATGAAGTCATCAGTCGCTCGTTTTGATGTAAGAAATAAGAAGGCCACAAATAAACCTTTGGATGGAATAACGGCGAGAGCGGCAACATGGCCTTTCAAAAAAATTATGATGACTACTTTTACTCAATTGCTCTTACGATAAGACTTCCGGTCTTTGGATAAGATGTCATCTCGCTCAAAAATTGCATGAAGTATGGCCATGAGAGTTTGTGCCACAACACCCATGGAGAAAAAAATTCCGAAATATCTGTGAATCACCCTGTTGATATTTTCCTCGTAGAACTTCTTTTTTCTTTTGACTTGCTTCCTGTATTCAGTCACAGATTGAACTAACGCGATGGGTAGCGACGATAGCGTGATTGTACCTCCCGAGGAACAGATTGAATCCGATTTGGAGCATCTGAAAGAATGGATGGCGAAACAGCCCCACTTGCCTCTTATCAAGGACGAAGAATGGCTTAAAACATGTCTCTATAACAACAAATTCAGCTTGGAGAAGACGAAATCGAAGCTAGAAAATTACTACACATTTCGAAGCAAGTACCCGCATATCCTAAAGAACCGAGATCCAACGGGACCAGACATGTTAAAGGTAAACACGAGGCTCTAGATGCTGCATTTTTAAAAGTGCAATTGGACGTATTCATGCTAAATGGAACTATGTGCATAGGATTTGTGTGGAACATAGTTCCTTTTGGTATAAATACGCCCCATTATGTTCCTGTGAGTAAAATATTTCAAGGTTTACTTACTACATATCGACGGTGAAATTACTAGACCACGTATCTCGTTTGCTGTGTTTAAAAATCTCCACTCACATTTTATTTTTTTGAAGGAGGTCAAATCAATATCATTCCTTACAATTTTCGCAGATTTTTCTCCGCACAAAGAGGAAAAATCACGGAAGATCTCACGAATTGACATTGAGTAGTTTTCTATTTAAAAAATAAAGTATGACGGAAGTCTGCGACGTCGCAAACCGAGATACGTGGTTTGGTAGTTTCACCGTCGATATGCCTTTAGTGTGTTTTATGAGTTGCGATTATTTGAATTAAGCGCCGTTTAAGTATAACTGAAGGCATATTTTCGAAAGACACAAAGAAAGAAAAAAAATACTTCTTTGCGAGCGGTAGGGGTAATTTTAAGGAGTAACCAAAAGAAACCATCCAGTTCAAAACCGCGTAAACACCTTTTTTAAGGACGCATTTTTGAAGGAACTTTGAAAATCAAGGTTGTAAGTTGAAAAGTACCTTGGGGATAATGTTCCTGTTAAAGAGGTACATGCATCTCCCATAAGAATTAGGCCCTGGGCGAAATCTGGTCATACCTTCAACTCAGTGGCGTGGCGTGAACTGCGATGTATCGATTTTTATGCCATTTAAACATATGGTAAAGAATCGATTATTAAGGTGAACACCCTGTTTATCGATCCTTTTCCATGGGTTTAAATGGCATAACAATCGATTTATCCCAAAGCACGCCACGCCACTGCTTCAACTTTTGTAAAGGAAGATTACAGAAGTTAAAAAATGGCAGAATTTTTGATGCAGTCCCCCGGAGGGTGGAGGGACGGGGGGGGGGTCTAATAAAAATCAACTTTCGGGCATAACTTTTGGACGGTTGCAGATATCGAGTTGAACTTCTTTTTAAATGAAAGAACATGAAAAGATCTTTCTATCAATGATAAGAAATTGACAATTGGTTAATTTTTGGCAAAGTTATGGCTTATCAAATTAACCTTCCTTTACAGAAGGTGAAGGTACGACAAGATTCCGTTCTAGGCCCAGTTTGTGTGGGAGATGCATATACCTCTTTGAAGCGACAAGAATTCTCTGCGAATCATCTGGAAATGTTTCTTAAGCGACCGGAAGACTTTTTGATGTTATAGGACAGGGAATTTTTATTTTCTTTTTCGTTCATAGAGAGATCCCTGTCGTCGTATATTTAACAGGAATTTTATATTTCACAGTGTGAGATTCATTCCAAACCAATATCTGATCCAACCTCTGGTATGTCATGCCTCGTTCCTTCCAGATGAACCACCAATCAAAACTTATAAAAAAGACAATACCAAGGTACTTTCTAGCGTAATAATTTCAAAGCTAATAAAATGTATTGAGTATAATAGAATGAAATTTCAAACCCCTTTTTCTCTGGCTGTAACTAAAAGAGTAGCCTAGCTCTTCTCAGCGGAACCCGATCTAAATGGCTATTGAAGCATAAAACTCGCACATCATTTGTTTCTTCACAACTATCTTCGAATGATTTTTCGTGAAGCTTTAAAATTACCACGGCACAAAATTTTCTGAAAACGTTATTTCATAGCTTTAAGTTTCGTCTTGTTTAATTACTTGCTACACGGCCGTGCTAAAGAAGAACGTGGTATGAGCCATCGGGAGTTGCCAAATTTTTTTCGAACAATCATTAAATTTTCAGGAAATGTGAGAATATTTCTCATCCGATTTTTCAGTGGATTTCGCTCGTAATTTGATCTAAAGTGCTTGAAAATTCTGAGGAAAAATATTCATAATTTTCTTCGTACATAAATGTTTTCTGAGAGAAAATTTGGCAGCTATCGAATGTTCATTCGACGTTTTTATTCGGCATGACAGTAAGGAAGAACGCCGTATGAACATTCGACAGCTGTCAAATTTCCTTCGATAAAATTTTTATTTTTGCTGAAGGTTATATAGAATTTTCCCTCGAAATCTTCAGGAACTTCGGGTATATTTGCGAATAAAATTATCTGAAAATTTGAAATGAAAATATTCATAATTTTACCAGGAAATTCGTGTTTTATCGAAGAAAATTTGGCAACGCCTGAAGGTTCATACGGCGTTTTTCTTTAGCACGACAGAATATATGATGATTTTGTCTCTTATTGTAGCGTTTCTGTTGATTTTCCACGCAGGCACGAGAATTCATAAAATTTGGATTGGGACAAAAACGATTGAAGGACGGGTCCCTCGTTTTATTCATAAAGTATTGCAATCCAAATGCTTTCGACGCGAATATCTACGCCAAGAGGGTATTCATGAATTATGACATGATTGTGCACGACCCTTCAAACCGTCTTACAAGATTGGTCTCAATCATAGATCTCCAAGATTTTAGGTCAGTTTACCAAACATATGATCGGTAAGGAAGTGAAGGCCTGTGAAGAGAATACACGGGATGTCCGGAGATCAATGCGTTTTGACTCTGGGATCAATTTTGGAGTGAAAGTGAGCTTTTGGCGACCTGGAAAAGTCTCTTTGAAAAAAAAAAAAAATCTTCCGCGGCACTTGACTTCGTCAAAGTCTTTGTCTTTCTTCGAAATCAGTCTGCTACTTTTCCAGGATATTAAATGTTAGTGAAAATTACTTTTTGTTTGATGTCGATCATAAAATCGCTCCTCTCCAGCGCCTGGGAGGAGGGGCTCGTTTACGACGAAGGGACGTAACTCTATTCCAGTGTTGCAAGACTGACTCATCCAGTCTTTTTTCGCAAGGATATGACCCTGCAATTTCCGTTCAAATTTTTCTGCTTTGGCGTGTTATCGGAAAGAAACGTGAGTGGCTCTCTTTCCCGTGTTTCAAGATTGGATCAGAGTTGGACAACATTTTGCAATTAGGAACTAAAATTTCTGGCTCATCTGAAAAAAACATTTATGTGCTTTGAAAAAGTTATGGTACATACGTTGTTTCCAAACCGAACCAGGAATTGTAGCTACTAATCGCAAAAAATAGTTCAGCTCCTAGTCCACGTCAATATTTTTCTCATTACTTTTACAGAGAATGGATCAATTGCGCTGACCACAGAATCGTGTTTTAATGCTTGATTCTTGTAGACTAGCTAAAAATAAATAGATTTTTCCAAACAACAAATTTCTGCGTTCAATATTAACAGAGATATCATGCATTAAACAATTCGGTTTAAGATGTCATCCACCGCGGTAGGGACGCCATTGGTTTCTTCCACCTTGCTTTCATCATTCAGAGAGACGTTTGTACTGGTTACTCAACGTGAAATTCGGAGGAAAGCAAGATGGAAGAAACCAAGGGTGTCACTACCGCGGGGCGTGGCGTCATGAACCGAATTTTTCTAATCGCGATATCTCTGTTAATATTGAACGTTGGAAGTTGTCGATTGGACGTAACTTATTATTTCTAGCTTATCTACGAGAATTAATAATCTAAACACGATTCAGTGACTAGCGCAAACAGAAACTCAACCTTTTCTCTTTTAAACTCCTCTTCGTGCAAGGAGAATGTGGCTGATGAAATCGCTGTGTTTTTAGCTCTGTGCATGCCCTGAAGTTGATGTCTGTCATGGGCACCATATCCGAAATCTTTAATCTGGCGTACGTGTCGAGAACCAAAGCCGTCCACCTGCTGAACTTCCCGTCTTTCGCGTCTCCATTTCTCGAGGCGATGAAGAAGTTCTTTCCGGCCAAGATGACCAGCAGGATCCGGCCTCACCCGCCCGGGGACAGAACCTTGTTCGAGACCGTCGATGAGGACGTGGTTTGCAGCGATTTCGGTGGCAAGGGGCCCACTTTGGCCGAGTTGGAAGGTCAGTGACGTAGCCAAGCCTATAGGATCAATAGAGACATATCGATGGCTGAAGTATCTCCTTTTGGAAGAGGAACAAGTTGACCATACAGCTTAAAATATCCACGCAATATTCTGCTAGTTAAGAAGAAATATCGGAAAATCTGTCAAGAAATCAAGTCGACACCGAAAAAAAAAGCACGCGGTTGGTGGATGATATTGACAATTCCAATTAGATGTGGTAGCACCCGAATAAATTAGGTCACGAACCCAAATGTTGCGGTTCTACCCTAACATGAGTTGCAGTACTAGGTACCACATTTACTTGGAAAAGTCCAAATCTTCCAATAAATTGGGGTAGTACCATAATTTTAGGGGATACCTCCTAACACTCTTTTTTCCGTGGACTTGTTTTCAAATAAAGTATGACAGGAAGTCTACAACGTACGAGACAAGTGGTTTCGCACTTTCGCCATCGATATATTTCAGCGACCCCGCCCTATAAATCCTTGCATTATTTGTAATGGACCACTAGACAAGGTGCAAATTTTAGAATCATGAATTATATTTTCCAACAAAATTTTATGTAGAACACGATTCCCAGAAAGAAACTTTCTGATATTAGCTTCCTGACTATTTTACCGCTTTTTTAACCTTTTTAAGCAATATTTATGCCTGGTAGAATTTTAGTAAAATTTAAGTAAAAAAGTGTTCAAATCTCTTCAATTTTTGTAATGTAGTTTTTCAACACTAAAAATGTCGAAAAATTCTTAAAGAGTAGTCATCCTTTTTAAACAAATTTTTCAGTAAATTTTACCCAAAAAATGACAAAAAATGTTTCCTAAAGCGAACATACCTACGGTTTTTTTAGACATTTCTGAAAATTTATTGCTGCTAATTTAATAGTTATATTACAACTTTTTGGGTTTTTGATCGTTTGAATAATATGCCCGGTCGTCTTTCCAGATGAAATGCAGAAAAAATTGGAGAAAATAAGAGGATGGTTCGAGGAAGAAGAGAATCTGTGTTCAAACGAGAGCCTGAGGAGGAAAGACTTCAATCAAGTGGAAGAGATGAGAGGCTCCTTTAGAAAATTAGAGGTTGACTAGGGTCCTTCTTCGTCGAGGGTTTTCACCGTCTCTTGACCCAGCATCGAACGCCACCTTTTGAATGTTTTTCGGGAGAGAAACATCGCGGAAAAGGGAAAACGCATGCCTCTCTGGGTCCATTTTTGTATCTTGAAGTTTTTCCCATCTGCCTTATTTTACAAGGAATCAGGATCTCAGTGGGTACATGAATACGATAATCTTAGTAGGATGAACGTACCATCTCAATCCCAAACCATTTTCCCCGCAATCATCCTACAGTAATGTCAGAGATATGAACCTCTGTGCGTATGATATATAATAATTTCACTGGGAGTGCTTGTAATATCTCAACTTTTGAATTTATCTTTTCATTATGAACTGAAGGCGCGCAATCAATCTGAAAAGAAAAATTCCCAATTATGAAGAATATAATAAAAAAAAAAATATGAGTTACTAAGAAAAAATCATTATGACCATAAGGATTTTTAAAAATTTACAACGGAAATATTTGTATGTTTTCTTGTAAAAAATCACTTACTCGAGGAAACGCCACGGATTAGTTCAAAATGGAAAAAATGAACGGTTAAACTGCAACGGTGTGCAATTTGGAGAAAATAGCTAGTCGCCTGGAAATCCATGATCAGTACTCAGTTTTTCAAACTTCAACTTATCAGAGCCGAATTGTTTTGTCCAACAAATTCCATGGACATATCTATGATCAAAGGAACTATGCGCGTAGAGTTTACGTGCAACATAGTTCCTTTTAGCATTAATACATCCTAATGGCAGTATGCTGCACAAAAATACGTTAATTGAATTAAGAGTCCGTTCCTGTAACTCACCCGTCCCCGCGAAATATCAACTTTTAAAGTTCGTCGGCGAGTTACGGCGACTCCTGAGGAACAGGAGTTACTTGTATTTTTACTCGCAGGTGCAGCCACATGCGACAGCCCTCGCGAAGTTCAAAAACTTGGGAAGAAAGTGTAAGAGTTGCTTCTGCCAAGCCAGCGAGCAACAGGTTCTCATGGTGAGCTGTTAACAGCTTCATTCTTTACTTTGTCGAGGTTTCGATTAATCATTTTGTATAATAAACACAGCACAATAAAGTGTCTGCCTGTACTTGGCCGAATTATTTGTTCCCTTCCCCTCTCACTCAACCTCACCGAAGACGTATCAAGACGGCCAGTTCGTCACCTTCTGGCCAAAGGCCAACAAGCGGCATGCGACGTTTAAAAATTTCCGCCGCCATTTTATTTTTTTACGGAGAAATTTTTTCAACAAAAAATTCACCGAATTTTCTTTGTGCCGTCGATAAAATTCAGTGAACTCAGATTCAAACAACAATTTCTCTGTAAAATAATAAAATGGCGGCGGAATTTTTGAGACGTCTCATGGCGCTTGTAATACTTTTGCCTGAAGGTGACGAGTTATCAAAGTATCATGCATTTATCGAGTCAAACCAGGATACATCCTAGCGAGACAATGCATCGGAAAAAACACTTCACGCTTTTTGTACGATGGATAGTTGACGGCGTGTACAGTGGATGGTGACTGCGCTTGTCACATGAACATGTTTTGATGGTTTTGAATTATAGATTAGGACAAAATAATGAGATACGTCCAAACGTTAGGTTTCGACGTCCAAGAACGGAGTTATCAATTTATCGTATAACACGACGTATGATGTCATCTTTTACGGTTATACACCGCCAATACTAAGCGTCAGGCAAGCTGCCTCACCGAAAATCGATTGTTTTACGTACATTTAAATGGAGGAAAAATAGTGTTGCCAAATCTCAAGAATTGCCATTGGTTTGCAGTGGCGTGGCGTGAATGATCGAGGTTCGATATTTCCCCATTTGAAGCTGTGATAAATAATCGATTATTGAGGTGTTCGCTGCGAGCACCCTGTTTATCGATCCTTTTCTATACGATTAAATGACAGATCAATCGATATATCGCAAAACACGCCGCGCCGCTGTTGGTTTGAGGCCCGGCATCGAGTAATATACTGCCGTGCTAAGGAAGAACGCCGTATGAACTTTCGAGAGTTGCCCACATTTCCTTCGATAAAATGTTTATTTTTGAGAAAAATTATGAATATTTTTCCTTGAAATTTTCAGAAGTTATAGATCAAATTACAAATAAAATTATCTGAGAAATTGGTAGGCAAATATTCAAAAAATTTCCTGAAAATTAGTGATTTGCCAGGAGAAATTCGGCAACGCCTGAAGGTTCATACGGCATTCTTACTTAGCACGGCAGTATAGCCCTAGGTGGTTTTACAGGGTCCAGTCTCTTGTTTTATATCCCTGCAAATCTCGTCCTTTTCCAAATATTTCGACCATGCATGATGAGGAAAATCTTGCCTAAAAAGGGCAACAGCGCCTACAATCTGGCACCTCGAAAATGCTAGTGGTCGAGGGGCCCCAGGGGGAGGGAAAGGGGAGACGCAAGCAGGGGCTGGCAAAACGCACGACCGCAAAAACCCAAGAGATAACACCCCGGTTAAATATGCATCCCTCAATGTTTTATGCATACGATCCAGCCGGACACTTTTCATCCTTCGTGTAATGCGGTTAGTTTCCATTTCGGCGGAAGGCGCGCCAATGCGGTACACCGGGCCGTCAAGTTTGTTTTGTTCCAGCGCCGGCTGCGGGGAGGGGGTGCTCGGGGGGGGGAGACGAGGAGGGGGCTCGTCTCCCGTGAGCAGTGCCCACTTCCGAGTTTAGGCACGATAAATTTGCGCTGTCCCGCTGAAAAGGAAGGGGAAAAATGGAGGCGGGTGACGGGTGAGATGCCACACATGGGAGCCATGAGCAGCGCCTCTGTGCAGAAAAAAACTGGGATCAACATCTTCGGGCGACTAAATCAGGCTTGAATCGTAATTCAGTCAAAACGAATGAATTACATATTTTCACTAAGTTTGAATCGCGTATCCAGGGATAACGAATAACAATACCGCCTGATTGATAATTGAATTGGTGAGATCGAAAACACACCAACTCAGTAACCCGAAAATGCGCAATTTTCATCAAAGACAGTCAATTTGTATGAAGTTCATTGAAGTTAGCGCATCTGTCCCAACTTGGACCTCTAAAACTCTTAAGTGCTTGTATTTCGGCGCCAAAAATGTTTTTCTTAGACTAATTTCTCCATCTACTGTGCAGTTTTCTGTGTGTCTTGATTACTTTAATTTTTCCGAGTTGGTGTGTTTTCGTTCTCACTGATTCAATTATAAAATGCGCAAGTTGATTGTTGTATTTTTTTTTTTTTTTTTTTTTTTTTTTTTTTTTTTTTTTTTTTTTTTTTTTTTTTTTTTTCCAATTCTGTAGGGGATCGCCGCTATTACGCTGTAATGTATGAAATAATTGCAAATGGAACCTTAAAATTAGAAAAATGGTGAAGTTTCCTCTTCGTTCTGCAAAATCGTCAGTTTGCATACAGGCGGTGTTGTTCGTTAGCCATCGATATTTATTGATCGATGATATTGTCTTTAATGAAAGGAAAATGAAACGGATGAAAACTCTTGCCACAGTGGCAGGGTGTTTATAGGAGTCAGATTTGCCAATCAATTAAGACCCCTCCACGAAAATGTAGTCAATTCTCCCTCAAATCGTAAGGGAAAGTGTAAAATTTATAGGTGCGTGTGCTTGTGACAGCGCATTCAGGTGTGCGATCAATTTACGGCCGGATCAACCTTAATACCAGACATCGCGTCATCATGAGGACACACGCGCGCGCTCGGAGGATCATTTAGTTAATCGTATTTCGATTAATCGAAGTACGATGTTTTATCTGTGAAATCCAGGAGTTTCACCGAGATAGATCGAGTCGTGCAATCGACCAGATGAGTCGCTAACAGAGCTAAAAGTCCAAAATACTTTTTGCTAATTTGTTGTTGTTCTTTTGGCTCTATTTTGGGATTTTCAGCCGGTCTCGGTCCCTCTCCATATTAATTGTCTAATTTATGGTGGTTTCTTTCGTTACAAAATGAGGGATCGCCGAGAATAGCCCATTTTTCCTCCGCTTCCCGACACTAAACGCCACTTGTCTCGAGATTTTTGCAGTCTCGTTACGAAAGCACGGATGCCTGAAATTCTTGCGGTGTAACTTGAGCGTCGCATTAGAAACTGAGCAGACTTTTAAATTGACCGCGTTAAGTATAAAGGAACCAAGTCCCGTCTGTTGTTGCCAAATTTAACTAGGAAATTTTATTTCGTACATGATAACAGTTTTGCGGATGTCTTTGCAAATTTCAGTGAATTTTCTGCTTAGTGCGCGGCAAACTCCCTAAAATTTTCAAAGGAATCCGCACAAACGTTTTCTTTTGAAAAAAATAATCGCCTCTTTAAATTTGGCAATAGCTGACGTGGCTTGGTTCGTTTCTGCTAAACGCGATCCAAACGCTAGTGGGCTGCCAACAATTTAACAACCAACGTTTCCCGCCCGTCGATTCTGCGAACTGCTTCGTCAAAATGAGCACGAAAGAAAGGCAATATTTCCCACTGTGTTCACTGCAACATTAAAGCCGAACTCTTTCACTCTCAGCTATCTTTTAAAATCGAGAAAAACTCCTTTTATGGGTAAGATACCTTATCCACAAATCATTTAGCGGTTCTTGTCAAATAACTTATACTTACGTATCGAAACACAATTCTATGACTAGCGCAAAAGATACTGTGACTTTCTTTCCCTCCTGTTGAATGTAGGGACGAACCACAAAATCTATTTCATTCTTAGTTTGACGGTTCTGCACCAGCCTTCGCGTTTGTTATCTGTTTAGTTCATTAATTTTCATCATATTTTCTGAAAATCGTAAGCAACACTCTCATGGGTAATAAAAATTTCTTATCGATGGTCAAAATGCAGAACCGCGTATCTCCGTTTGCGATTTCCTGCAGACTTCCTGTCTGTGGACTTTTTCCGTGGAAAATTAATCAACGTAATTTCTTGAACATTTCCTCTCTGTCCGCAGAATACTTCGTATTAATTTCAAGCCATGAGGTCAGTATGTTTCTCTTCGAAAAACTAAAGTAGGAACGGGAATTTTGAAGCATTGCGGTGAAGACATGTGGTATTGCATTTTGGTCATCGTCATGCAGATGTCGGGTTACGCATTGAAGTTAAGAGTGAGGAACGAACTTTTATGCCATGCTCTCGTTCGGCCTTTCAGTGGCGTGGCGTGCCTTGCGATATATCGACTGATCTGTCATTTAAACCTATAGAAAAGGATCAATAAACAGGGTGTTCGCAACGAACACCTGAATAATTGATTCTTTACCATAGCTTCAAACGGGGAAATATCGAATATCGATCATTTACACCTCCCCACTGTGAATTTTCCTCCTTTTTATCTTAAGGCATCCTTTTATCAAAGTCAAACTATCATGGACACACATTCGTTAACGAATGCGTAACAAAGAAGTCTCCTCACTTTTATTGCATTGAATTTTCCACCGGAAACTCATGTTCTATCTGGAGCAACCTCCTTGATGAATTACCTGCAGTGACGGGGCGTGAATGATTGATTATCGATATTTCCCCATTTGAAGCTACGGTAAGGAATCGATTATTACGGCGTTCGTTGCGAACACCCTGTTTATCGATCCTTTTCCATAGGATTAAATGGCAGATTAATCGATATATCGCAAAGCTCGCCATACCACTGATTACCTGTTGCTTTCTCATGGAGCTCAAGCAGGAAGAGAATATTTCAGAGACGCAGGTGGCGTGTTGGGCAATGGTGATCCCGCTGTTTTAAGAGTTCTATGTCTGTATTCTCCCAGCTTCACGCTTCAGTATTCACCTCAGTTAGGCTACTGAATGGATTCGAACACATCTGTGGTCATAGCTACTCGTCAAAACAAAACCAGTTTCGTGTGAGAAAACAGCACCTGAAAATTATTTTTGGAAATTTAAGGGCATATCGACGGCGTAAGTCCGCAATCACACACTGGAAAAAAAAAAAAAACACATTGGATCCAGAGTCCAGACTCTTGAAAACATTGACAAGAAAAAATACTCTTGATTCAATCAGATTTTGCTTAGATCCAAAGGAAATCCGCTCAAATTAAGAGGCTTGGTTCTTGATTTAAGCAGAAATCCGATTGAATCAAGAGTATTTTT